TATATATATATATATATATGCTGCTTTATACCTCCAGCTATAGTCCAATGTCTTTCAAAAAGAATTACTGCACATCCAGATGGGGTGTCCCTACCCCATCTGGAGTTGCCCCCTGCAGCTTAGTGAAACAGGTCTGTTTTATAAAATTGTATATTCCATTGAATAGGTAGCATGAGGAGGGGTGGAGAGAGAGGAGTCATTGCATTAGCCCATTGAGCTGCTTATTTTTTCCTTTAAGTATTTTGCTGAATTATTACTATCTTTTATTTTGTTTCATTAGTTATTATTTGTTTGTGAAATAGTAGGAGGCATCTTACATGGTTACTTGCTCATATATCCTAAGTACACTTAATAGTATAAAAAAGTAGCTGAGTATAGTAGTGAACTCCAGAGAATATTGACACATTATTTTCTTCCCTTTAATTGTAATGCAGAAAGAGAGCTGTTTTAGGCTCATTAGGCCACTAAATTAAATGTCTCCTGTTACCTCTTAGAAATTGGACTCAAATGGAGTAACATCTTCTCACCAACCAGGAGGGATAGCTTTGTCTTTGCCTATATACTGGGGATGTTTTTATTAGATGCTATCTTGTATGGCTTTGTGGCCTGGTATATCGAAGCTGTGTTTCCTGGAGAGTATGGTGTGCCCAAACCATGGAACTTCTTCTTGCTGGTGAGTTGTAATGCTTCTATTATGGAGAGAAGCAACAGCGTTCACTGCTTGATTTCTATGAAGTCTTCATGAGTTAATTTTACACTAAATTTAATCAGTAGAGCAGGTGATTGGATCATTCTAATCACTCTATTCATGCTAATTTGCTAGCCTTTGCCTCATACACTTTTAAATATCCAACATGTAAGTATCCGTAGTCTGTAGGTCATGGGCTGCAACCCCAAACTTTACAAATTGTGAAGAACCTGTCACTTTTGCAAACAAGTGTTTCATTGAGGCTTGAACTCCAGTATCAAGAAGTAAGCAAGGTACATCCATAAATGCTACCAAGAGAAAGTTTAGTCTTAGTGTGAGCACCCACAAACAGCTTTATTTTCTTTGTTTGCCAGATCTGTTAGAGTCAGACCATGGCAAACTGGGGAGCTTGTACATCCTCCTCCCCTTCTCAATATTTTCCTTGATTATTACTCAGACGGAGTGATACACTATTATTTGTCCGAACCTCATTTGGGAGTGATTTTCCTTTGCTCTTCTGGAACAATAATGATTTTGATAGAGCAGTCTTTTATGCCTTGAAGATTCAAATAAGAACCAATTAGCTCTAACAGTTAATCCCAAGAAACTTTCAGTGGTCCATCTCTGTGCAAAGAATAAAGACTAAATATTTTCTGTCGTGTTGTTTCTCAGTGCCATTGCAGTGATTCCGTTTTTTATTGCCTTTGTAGCGCTCTCACTGGTTTGGGGATACACCTGCAGGAAAAAATGAAGCAAAGGAATTTGATGAGACAGTTGACAACAAGTATCTTGAAGCTGAACCTACTCATTTGCTGGCAGGTATCCAGATCAACCATCTGCACAAGGTATTGTTTCATATCTCTCTTTCCTGATTAGACTGAAATTTCATGTACAGTTCATTATATGTATTTGTTACTGGAAATATCAAGATAAAAGACCACATGCTAATTAAAGGTTATAGCCATCCTGTTTACTTCATTTGAGAAAGATCAAAATGAAATTTGCATAATATATGATAAAAAAATTCCATCTTTCTTCTTTCTCCAGAATAGAATCAGGTTTTCTATAAACTGTAATGGTGTCTTCTACAAATGCTTTCATTTTGAAAAGTCACTTCTAGTTGATCTGATGGTTTGGCTATCGAGACATTAATTTCTTTTCGCAATGTTTTGCATTTATTTATTTGTAACATCCTCTGTGCAGGCATTCATCAAAGCGGAGCTTTTTCTATTAACTACAGGAGTGTAGTATTCAGGTAACCAAGGTATTTTTTCACATTCATTTGCTTTCCCCCTGATTCTCATTCTCTTGCTTACTCACAGCTTCAAGGAAAATCAAAGCTCAGTGTAAAGTTAGCCAGTTTTGGAGATGTTCATATTCTGTGGCCCTCTCTGTCTCCACTGTTATATGCTGTTGCCTGTATGGTTACCTCAATCCCAGTGAAAACTCAGTCTTTGCCATGGGTCCTCCAGAAATCCATTCACATCAAATAATTTTGTGAATATTAGCAACATCGAGTATGAATTGGGCCTCGGTGGGAGTGATTCAAGCAACTCATGAGCTGCCACCATTTCCCCATCTCAGTTTGCCCCGTTTCCCTCCATCTGTCTCCTTACACTTTTCCTGCCAGATTGCCTCAGAGAGCCACTTCATGCACACTCTCCTAGTGTTCCACTCAGACTTTCATATCCTGACTCATAAGAATGCCTGGAATAACCAATTACACTCTGTCTGACGTTCTTACTTTTTCACCTTTTCATTCTTACATTGCTGTCTCTCGGATACAGTGGTGAAAAGCTAAATAAGACCCACACTCTGAAAGAACTTACATACTAATGTGAATAAATGTGTATTAGTAATTAAATAAACCGTCCAGATAGAACAGTAAGTGCCATTAGAAAAATAAGTACGGTGATTATATAATTAAGGGGTAGGGTGGGAAGGGAAACACTTCAACAGGTTACTCAGTGAAACTCTCTGAAAACATGGCCATGTCGTTGCTGGCTGCCCTCTCTAGCAAAACCTGAGAGGCACAAGGTCAGCTTACATAGAGTCAAACTCATTGTGAGGTTGATATTGTTATACATTGTAGGTCTGCTAAATCCACCTTAACATAGGTTTTTCTTTTTACATTTTCATCCTTCTTACATTTGATGATGATGTTGATTATGTCGTGTTGATTCTTCTATAAATAGTTGACAGGAGTGCTCACTGCCCCAAAGTGACAGTGACAGATTAAAAGCTGACATGTGTTCGTATGTCCCCTACAGGTATTCCAAGTACAGAATGCTACAAAGGTAGCAGTGAAGGACTTGTCTTTGAATGTATATGAAGGACAAATCACTGTACTCCTAGGGCATAATGGGGCAGGAAAATCCACTACTATATCCATTCTCTCAGGTATGGGTTCAGGCAGTATCCTCATACAAGCATTGTATTCGTTGTTACTATTAACAGTGCTAGAATGCATCGTAAAACACCCAGTTTTCAACAAACGTTATGAGACATGCGAAGGAAAGAAGAAAGTTTGCGTTTCATACTAGGGGAAATCAGGCAGAGAAATTTCCTGTGAGAGATGCCTAATGTCAGATTTTAGTAAAACATCACAGAAATTTGGTCAGAGAACTAAAGGGAATCCTTTTTAAAGAAATAGAAAGGCATGAAACTGATTAGAGTAGATACTATCAATAAGGAGACACTAATTATAAAGAACCAAATGGGAATTCTGGTATTCGAAAGTACGATAACCGAAGTGGAGAACTCAATAAAGGGACTTGAAGGTAGAACTGATATTGGGTAAAACCACAGGGAACTAAAACTGATAGTAAGAAAAACCAAGGGATGCCCAGGGACCCCAGATTGTTAAAGGAAAAGTCCATATTGCTATTTCTAAGGGCTCATGCCTTCCATGTTCATAAAAGCAAAGAGTCTTAATCAGTGAGTGCTTGGAAAAGAACAGAGGTATTAATGCAACAGCAGTGGATAACTTGCCTAATGAGAAGTTTAAAGTAACAGTTATAACCTTGTGTCAAAATGAGAAAACCAATGGATGAACAAAAGCAGGAATAGAGAAATAAGATACAGTAAAGATAGATAAAATACACATATGTGGGCCCTCCCTGGTGGCGCAGCCGGTTAAAGCACAGCACTAAGAAGCTAAAGCCACTTCAGCATGAGTTTGATCCCCGCCTGCCCTGGAGGTGACCCACATGGCACAGCAGACCTCTCCTGACCTGCCCGCTGCTCCCCTCAGCAGTGTACTTCATCTGCCTATTCTGCTCCCTGCTCTGTCTCTGGTGAATCCTCTCGCTACCCCTGCACCTCTGGCCTGTACCGAAGTTCTGTGTGCATTAATAAACCAATCTTTGGAAAAAAAAAAAAAAACATATGTTTCAAACAAGTAATAGTCCTAATGTTATACCATAACTGAAAAATGCAATAGAGGACTTCAATAATAGATAAGTACTGGTTGCTGATAGAATCAGCAAGTTTGAACAGTGGTGGAAAACACTCAAATAGACTCACAAGGAGAAAATAGAAGAATGAAAACGGTGTTAGGAGCTACTTGGGATAATTTAAAGAGAAATAACATTGTATCATAGCAGCCCCGGAAGAAAACAAAAGAGAAAACCATGTTTTTGTGTTCTGGTTTTCTTGAAACTGTGTTATTTGTACTGAGGTAACAATGGCTTACAACACTATGATCTGAGGGTGTAGTTCACCTCTCTTCAGATATATAACACCATACTCATCACCAAAAGACCTATAATCCTCCATCTTAGAAAATTTATTTTCACCATAGAAAATTAATTTAAAGAAAGAACTGAAAACCTCCCTAATCTGAGAATGGAATCAAGATATCCTGATCCAGGAGAACCAAGGAGCTCCAAACTAAATAACACCCAACAGACACAATCTCAGACATTAGCAAACTGCTAATGAAAACTAATGACAAAGAAAGAATACTAAAAGCATCCAAAGAAAAGAGAGTTACATATACGGGAGCAGTTGTAGGCAATCCAAGACTTCTTGGAAACCTTACAGGCAAGATGGGAGTGGAAAGAAATACATTAAGTCCTTAAAGAAAAAGATTTCCAGCCTAGATACTTTAGCCACACTGTTATTCAAGATTGGAAAAGAGATAAGGAACACACCAAAAATAAATACATCATCATGATAGCCTTGAAAGAAATATTAAAGTGGTTATTATAAGATTACATTTCATTGTTAAAGGTGGAAACTCTGCAATGTGGTAATGAGTGGCCTTGGGACAATAATGGTAGTTGGGGACACAGAGTCCCATCATGGTGGGTTGCACACCCTCGAACACGTTTATCCTCTTGGAAATATGGGGTCAAAGTAATATTTTTCCCATTAAACTTAACCAATCATTATAGCTGTGGATAAATATAATGTATTTTGATGCTCTCTTAGATTACTGTGTGTTACTTCCCCTAACTCGAATTTAAATTCTTCAAGGATGAAAGTTTTATTGTCTAAATTTTTCAAGTTTTAAAACAGTCGATAGTGCACAATTTACAGTGACTGTTAAATTATAATAATTTATAAATATCAAATGGTGATGGCATTGCTGGAATGTTCTAATACAGCTTTTTAGTGTCTTTATTATCTGAGTTACTTTTACTCAGACTCATTGAAATTAGACTATACCATTAAACAACAAAAAACAGACTATAATCCATCTAGTCTTAACATTCCAAAGACAACAACTGATATTTCCTACTGCTAATTCCAATGCATAATGTAGAAATATTTTGACTGTGGTGTCAATTAACCGTTCGTTGGCATGTTCCTCATGAAAGCTAAGCTTCTGTTATGTCATCTGCTTGGTTCTAGGTCTCTATCCTGCTACCAGTGGACAAGCCTATGTTAATGGATATGACACCTCAAGGCAGATGAACCAAATTAGGAAAAACATAGGCATATGTCCCCAAAAGGACTTGTTTTTTAATCATTTGACAGTTTTGGAACACCTTTATTTCTATTGTGTGGTGAGCCAAAGATACGTTCCTTTTCCCCATTAGGTTGGTATACTTCAAGTAGATTACCAACTATCATATCCTTACTCTGAGGTTGTTCACAGATTGATTTTTGATGAATTCTCCTTAAACAGGAAAAGGGAAAATTACATTATACATAGTTGATTTATATATAGGTAAGCCAATAGAAAATGTTTTTGAAGATGAACTTGGAAGTACCATATAAACATTGATTCCTCTTTCCAGATAAAAGAGATACCTCAAAAGAAGCGTTCTACGGAAATCGAACATATGCTGACAACTTTTAACCTGCTAGAAAAGAGAAATGAATTTTCAAGCACACTGAGTGGAGGAATGAAGCGCAGACTTTCCATCATTATAGCACTTATTGGGGGCTCCAAGGTAAAAAGGATGAAAATTTTATTGTCTAGATGTTTCAATGAAATATAAAAATGGATCTTCACTACAACTGGTCTAAAAATTTAGTCAGCTGGCAAATCTGAGAGCTGAAATAGATGAACACTCCAAAAGGAACCTCCTCAATGAAATTACAGATCACATTCACATTATCAACCTAGTATATATAAAATGATAACAGGTTTGGAATTATCCCAGCATTCCTAACTCACTTTTAGTCTAAAATTATTTTTTAGATTAATTGGGACACAAAACCAGAGCAAACCCCTGACTGGTAAGACCTTAGTGATCTTAGCCCATAATTCTTTTCCTGTGATCATGGAATTGCTCTTCTGGCCTTTAGGTGGTGATACTCGATGAGCCAACATCTGGCATGGATCCACTCTCCAGGAAGACCACCTGGAATCTCCTGCAGACTTATAAGCAGGATCGGACCATCTTACTAACCACCCACCACATGGACGAAGCTGACATCCTGGGTGACCGCATTGCCATCATGGTCAATGGGTCCCTGCAATGCTGTGGCTCTGCAGTCTTCCTGAAAAAGATATATGGTCTCTCTCTTTGATCATTTTTTGGATAGTGAAGGACTAGTAGTGTTCTAACATAATCCTCATGGATATTGATGTCCTGATAAAATTTTTCTAACAAAACTTTTTAACAATTTTTATCTAGGTAAAACTTCAGTGATTCTTTCTGTCTTATTAAGGTTTGACCATGAGCCCTTAGAAACAATGGTTATATTTTAGTTCTAGCACATGGACAAGAAGTAACATAACAACTGGCTAGGATGTAGAGAAAAGGTAACCCTGTACAAACAGTGAAGGAAAGAGTAAAAATTGATGTAGTCACTATGTTAAATTCCTTCAAAATACAAAAACTAGAACTATTATATGATCTACCAGTTCAAATTTTGGTTATTTATCTGAAGAAGATGAAAACACTAACTTGGAAAAATATCTGAAACTTCTTATTCATTCCTGCATTATTTACACTAACCAAGACATAGAACAACCTCGATGTCCACAAAAAATGAATGGATCATTAAAGGAAATTTGGTGTTATTTTTATCATTGGAATATTACTCAGCTATAAAAAGGAAGGAACTATTTCCATAAGCAATGACACTGATGGACTTTGGGGGCGTTATGCTAAATGAAATACAGAGAAAGACAAGTACCTGTGGAACTCACATGTAAAGTCTAAAAAATAAGAAAAAGAAAAATCCTACAGATACAGAGCATAGATTGGGTCTTCCCAGAGGTGAGAATAGTGGAAGAGTGGGTAGAGGTAATTAAAAGATACAAATTTTCAGTTATAAAATAAGTCCTAGAGATAAAATATATAGGCTAGTAACTATAGTTAAAATACTGTATTGTAAATGTGAAAGTTGTTAAGGATAGTACTTAAAAGTTCTCATCACAGGCAATATGTGTGGTGATGAGCTTTCACCTTACTGTGATGAGCTTTCACCATGTGTACATATATAAACATTAATGTTACAGGTCAGTTATATCTGAATTTAAAATTCCCATTGGTACACTTTTTAAAACGACTAGAATGTTAACATTAAAAAGATTGATGAGGCCCTCCCTGGTGACACAGCGGGTTAAAGCACAGCACTAAGAAGCTAAAGCCACTTCGACATGAGTTTGATTCCTGCCTGCCC